GTTTGTGCAGCCTTGGCTTCTTGTGGATAAAGACGATTAGTCATCGCTTCTAATTTGACAGGCACGAGTTCTAAGCCTGGCACTTGCAGTCCAAACAAATTATATACGGACTATAAACTAATTAAATAAAAATTCGATTATTTCCAAAGACCACTGATGAAGAGTACTTGGCAATACTCGAAACAGCGTTGTATGGTCAGCCAAATTTCAATAAATTAAATAAAAAACTTTTGTCTTTGCCTTTCTTTGCTATTCGAATCGGTCTATAAATTATTATTTTTGTCTTACAAATATAAAACTCAAAAATCACAATTATTTTTTAAAGCAAAATATAACTGACGGGCGTTTTATTTTTAAAAACAGAAAAATAAAACACTTTTTTGTGTTTTGTAGTTTTTTTTTTTTACAAAAACAACTATATTACACGCAAAAGCGTTTTAAAATGGTTGATTTTAATTTTTTTAACAATAAAACTATAATTATAAATAATGTCCCTGTTAACAACAATAAAACATAGATATGATCAAACTTATTTAATGATCAAAATAATTAATTAATTTATCCAAAGCACGATTCACGGGCTACATGCAGCCAGCGGCTAGTGTTTGTGCTAGCCGCTGGGTAGATTAGAAACATGACGCGGACCGCATGTCACTAATGGGCCTTGCTTTGGACAGTCCTGTTCTAGAGGATCTAGGTTAGTTGAAAGACTTTTCGTTTTAAACTATTTAAGTTTTGTACAGCAATAAGTTAGAAGACCCTAATGGATCTCTATGTTAACAGTGATAAACTAACATACTCTGTAGTTAAATATGCGGATTTTTGAAGACATCTTCTGAATTTACTTACCAAATAAATGAATATATGTGGCAATAACTAGAAAATGTAACTTATTCTAAAAATCAAAAGAAACTTTTTAGTATTCTTAATTATCAATTTAAAAAGTTATACATTGTTATAAAATAAATAATTGTGATTAAGAAATATATATCATATGACAAGAAATCTATTTTAATTAAAAAAGGAGGATAACAGTAATAAAACTTTCAAATCTAAAAAAAAAATTTAATTAAGTAAATTCTTGGGCTGACCATGAAACTATTCCGGTTATCGGAATTATTCATCAATGAATTTTTAAATAATCTGATTTAAAATCTATAATCTATAAAAATAGTATATAGACAGCAAGTCAGGAATATAACCGTAGAACCTTATGTTAATACAAAAAATCAATAAGTAATGATTGTTATAAATCAATAAAAACTTGCAATACTTATAAAAAATATAAATCGAGTATCAAACTTACTCCACTCTTTTTTCATGTTTTATCGTCATTTGTTTATTTTCAACCTCCTCTCTAGACACATTTGGTAAAATCTCATCAAATGGGTTACTTATTACTTCAGTACGTATAATTTTTTGTAAATTTATAGGCCGTTTATTTTGATCTAACGCACCAACTTCCAGTCTTAACATATTAAATATTGTATCATCGGTTACTTTGCCAAATAGTGTATTTTTATTTTGTAAATCGGGTGTAGCAGCCAATGTAAAAAAAAATTGCGAACCATTATCATTCTTTCCGTAATTGAGCATACCGACTAGCCCGCGCCTCGTATAACGCAAACGTCTGTGAAATTCATCTTCAAATGGTTCGCCATAAATGGATTGCCCACCCGATCCATCGCCATTTGGGTCACCACCATGTACTACAAAACCTTTAATAACACGATGAAATATGGTATTATCGTAATATCCTTCGGTGCATAATTGCATAAAATTTTGACATGTTTTTGGGCATTCCTTTGTCCATAATTCAATATCTATATCTCCAACTGTTGTTTTTAGTGAAACCTAGTGGACATATGTACATGAATCTATTTCCGGATATCTACTGTACTAAATAGTTGCACTTACTTTAGCGGATGTTGGTGGTTCTACCGTATATATTTTACTCATTTTAATTTGGCATTATATTCCTTACATAAATAAAAATAAATTTTTACTGGTAAACAAATACCTGAATTCGCGTTGTTTTTTGAAACGTCAAATATCTTCAACTAAATAGGTTGCATTTTCGATTTTTAGTAAATGCTTGTATCATAAGTTCTCATTATTAAGGTGACCATCGTGACTCTTTGCCTCTTATAGCAAATTTTAATTTCATAAAAATTTTAATTTTGTTTTCGCTTCAGAGAAATTAGATTGTGTTTTCCATAAAAAAAAAATTCAGTTTCAATTGACACATTTTTGGGGTTCATTTAATAATATATAATTTTGCTGGGGTATTCTCAACCCTCGTTAAGGGTCGTACAACAAAATTTATATTCGCTGGGACAGTTTTTAACCGAATGAGCCAGGTTAAAAAAAAATATTAACTTGCCCAAATGAGTCAGGTTCATAATACTTTGGCTTAATGAACCACCAGGCTGAATAAACCATCGTACTTGCTACTTTCAAAGCGAAATTTGAAATCCTCGGTCATATCAAATGCGCGTCCTTTTATACAAAATATGCCGGAGCTTTGATCTTTTTGCTGTAACCTTTTTTGTGCTAGTTGTGTGCTTTTTGGGTTTTTTCTGTGTACTTTGTGTTTTGTTCATCAAAAGCTTTCATGCTTTGTTGTTTGTAAATATTTGTTACATTTACGCATTTATTTTTATTTTAAATTTAATAAAATTTTTTTAGATAAATAAAATTAGGTTATTAAAGAAATTAAAATTTTAATAATAATTTTTGTAAAATTATTTAATTATTAATATTTTCAATAAAATTATTTTCAATTAGTGAAAGTAAGTATTAATGAATTCCGGTGCACATTTATGTAGGCGGAAATTTGGTGTAAAAAATTCCGTCCTTACAGAGGTTAGAACGAAATTAAGGAAAATGGCCTTAATTTCGTTGAATCAGGGCTGAAATTAAGCAAAAATTCAAATGTGAAAGATAAATTTTATGCAAAAGATAAGTTGAGGTAACGAAAAAGTGACATTTATTTTTAAAAACAGCTGAAAAAACTGTAACTATTATTAATTTAAAATAGAGTGAAAAACACAAATGGTGTTTTGAGCATATAATTTTTGAAATTCGATTTGTAAACAAAAAACAAATGATTTCCTTAATATGGGTCAGTATGAACATTTTTCAAATTAACTTTATTTTCATATTAATGAAATTAAGGAAATTTGGCTGTCTAAACATAGTATTAAGACGAAAAATGTCGAATGCAAAATATGTAACGCAAATAGTTCTCAGCAGCTCTAACCACTCACATTTGAATATGTATGCAACTACATACATTTGATTTATGCGTACGAACATGCAAGACAAAATTGGCATGCAGTGTAACCGCAACCTAAATGAGATAATCTGAATATACTTTAACTGTAAAGTGTTTGATATTAGCCACTAAAGTAATATTTAATATTCAAACGTATTTCATTATAGTTTAAAATCGACACTTAAGTGTATATCTATATGTAAATGTAGATCTATTTTATATAGATAATCATGGTCACATTATATTATAACTTAATATTGCGTTTACATTGTGAGATTAAAATTAGATAAAAGCAATCATCGAGATGAAAGTACTAATCTAATTGTGTAATCGTATATTTTCCATATAAAAGTTAGTCCCATTTTGGTCGAGATCTTTTTTACGATTTTAGAAGAATTGAAAAAAAATGTCAAAATCTATTTAGAACAAACATTGAAAATTTGAAAATGCCGAAGTAATGTAAACGGTGTAGATTAAAAATGAAGATTAACTTGTTCTCTTAATCTCATTATGTAAACGTAGTAATATATATAATACTAATTTTGCCAACTAGTGTTGATAAGTAATAAATGTCAGAATTAGCGCCTTCAGGAGTAAGTATGTGATATGCTTATGCATAGTTAGCGAACTTTACTAAAATTAACTATCATGTATAATAATGAATACACATGTGTTTAAAAATTTTGGTTAAAATTACAGTACTGACAACAGCCATATGAAGAAATTTTGCGTTGCTGTCGAAGTAAACATCGAGTTTTTAAGTCATTTTAGAACACTGCATATACATGTCAAACTCTTTATAAGGTTATTTAAAAATCAACAACAGAAGCGGTCTGTTCTGGTCTCAAGCTATTTTGTATAATTTTGACGAAATAAATAAATAAAAGATGGCTGAAGAAGTAACTGAAGGTGTAGAACATGTTTTGGAGCCTGATTCAGAGTTGCGTTTGGAAATAGAAGATAAAAATGCCAAAGTTTATGTGACGGTATAAAACGTACTTGTAATTTCTTTAAAATATAACAATTTAATTATTTTATAGCTACTGTCGGGTTTCGCTGAAATGTTTGGCACGGAACTCGTGAAAAAGAAAAAGTACGAAATACGTGGTGGTGGCGCCTTTTTCACTTACCAAGGCTGTGTATTGAATGTTGTTGGAAAAACTGATGTTAGTTATATTTCAAAGGAAACACCTATGGTGCAATATCTAAACTGTCACGGCGCATTGGAAAATATGAGTGTAATTGCAGAGGACAAGGATGAACGTGGACCCGTTTGTATGGTAGCTGGACCCATGGATGTTGGCAAAAGTACTTTATGTCGCATATTATTAAATTATGCCGTACGTCGTGGACGTCGTCCATTATATGTTGACACAGATGTAGGTCAAGGCTCAGTGTCTATTCCCGGTTCAATTGCTACAATACTAATTGAAAGGCCAGCTAGTATTGAAGAAGGTTTCTCACAAACTGCACCACTCGTTTATCATTTTGGGCATAATTCACCAAGTGGCAATGGTGTGTTGTATAAAACAATAATTACCAAAATGGCGCGAGCGACTTTGGGTTTACTGAATGATAACAAACGTAGTAAGTTTGAATTATTGTATTATCTCTTTTCTTTGTTGTAATTTTTACATACTAATATTTGCATATTTTTTTTAGCTAAGTATTCTGGTGTAGTAATTAATACTTGCGGTTGGGTTAAAGGTGGTGGGTACCTCAATCTCTTGCATATAGCTCAGGCGTATAATGTAGACGCTATATTTGTGCTTGATCAAGAACGTTTGTATAACGAATTGTTGCGTGATGTCCCATCAAATATACGTGTTGTACTTTTACCTAAAAGTGGTGGTGTTGTAGAACGAAGTAGGGATTTACGAAATGAAAGTAGAGATGGTCGTATTAAGGAATATTTTTATGGAAATCGTACCCCACTGTATCCGTTTTCATTTGAAGTTAAATTTCAAGATTTGAAGCTATACAAAATTGGTGCGCCACCATTGCCGGATTCATGTATGCCAATCGGAATGAAGGTATGTATACTTTTTAATATCTCGAATTATTAAAAATGTGTTGTATCAATAGTTTTAAAAAATATTAATTAAAAAATAATTACTTTTATAACCATAAAAATAAAGCATGAAATGGGTTTTCTCATATATTAAAGTAAATGGGGTCGCAGAGTTGTAATAATATACATTCTCAGCACCAAAAATAATTGCAATTCCAGCAGTGTTTGAGTCTTTCTTTTGAACCTATAAATGGATAAAGGCCAAGTGTTACCCACTATAAACGTTAGAATTATAGGGATATGTTAAAATTAATTTGGAAATTAACACAAATACTAAGCGATAATGTTTTGAAACTACTGCAATTAATAATTGATTTCATATAGTTGTGATCCGCATGGTTATGATTATATAAAACCTTTTGGGTGTGACGAATGCACTTGGTTGTCGAATTCGATGAGTAGCTCCCGGACGCACACTTATATTTTTGATATTTTTAAATATCAACTATACATACATGATCTGAATTTTTAAAAATCAAATTTTAGTAAAATTAAAATGGTAGTAATCTTACACTTGATATAAGTACATACATATGCATAAACTACATTTTTAAATATTATATATTTATCATATTTATGAATAAAGACTATTCATAATTTTAAAAATATTTTTTATTTCAGGCAGAAGATAATAAAACCAAACTAGTAGCTGTAACACCAAGTTATGGTTTACTACATCATATTTTAGCTGTGAGCTTTGCTGAATCAGTCGAAGACGATGTTATTGGGTCTAACTTAGCAGGATTTGTCTGCGTGTATGTACTCCTTGATATGTAAAAATTACAAAATAATTTTTTTACTTATTTATAAAATATAGAACTGATGTGGATATAGAACGACAAAGTCTAATGATTCTTTCCCCGCAACCACGTCCACTACCAAATACAATTTTATTATTGTCAGAGGAGCAGTTCATGGATAGCCATGCATAGCTGAAACTCAATGAATCTTTGGCAGCTTAATAATACGCAGATTAACACTCTAACCTAAGACAATTTAACAAAAAAAAAAACTTAATTTAACAAAAAAAAAATATCAATTTAACGAAAAAAAAACAATTGCTTTAAAAAATCAAACACAACTTAAATAAAAATCTGTAAATCCAATATCGATTTTAAAGACAAATTATATTTACACAAAAATGTTTTATAATATTTATATATAATAAGTTTTAAAATTGAATAAAATTATTTATTGAAATTCTTGCTTTATGTAGTACTTGGTTTCTGTACTTTTGCTAGCTCAGACTTAAATTTAGCTATAGTTTCACGTGCCAGTTTCAATTTATCCTTTAGACTGCTTATTTCGTTTTTAACCTTAATTTTAACTTTCATTGTGTTTTCATATGTCTGCTCTTTCTTCTTTTCAACTGAAATTTAAATAATTATTTTATAATTTTTTTATACAAATATTATTTATTTACTTACAATCTGTGTCATGCACATATTGGCCACTGGTTATTGGTTGTACATTCATAAGTAAATGCTGCATTAATTGGGTTGGCTCTTGAAATACAATCTCTTCATAGCATTCTGATACTAAACCTTTTTTCGGATCCAAAATGGTTGTTGGAAAATCATTTCCGGTCGATGGTGATTGAAAAAGTTTGAGTATATGATAACAAGTAACTGGACGCTCGGTCGGATCATGAAAATATATTTTGATTACAACCTCAAATTCTCCCCAACCGGTTTCTGTGATTTCGTAAGGATATTTTGTGACAATGCGATTGGGATTTGAATAACTTTCATGTAATTTAAAATGCACTTTTTTTACATAAACACTCATGTCTTCATTGTAATACGGCTTAACATACACTTTCCACTGATGTGTATGGCCATCATCCTCACGCTTCTTGCCAAAGGAGCGCGCTATGTTGCCGTAAACAATTGGTTTGACAATTGTCAGTCCTTTAACGCGTCCACCAGAATCCGGGCCAAAATCAGTTGGTATATTTAAACTATTCATGCTTTAACTGTTCAAGTACTTATTTTTTTCTTTCTTTGAAATTAATTTAATTTTATTATTTATATGTAACTCTTCTTAACTGTGTATCGCGCCGCCGATGCCGTTTGTTTACTTTTTCTTTAGCATATTTGACATTAAATTGTCACTCAATTTTGACAAGCAGTGCTGCCAATAACACAGAATATGCACTCATATTTTTAACTTCATTGCTGCAATGAGTTCAGTCTCTTTTTAAGTTTGGTTGGAATTGGTGTGTAGTGTTTTTTCTGAATGTATTTAATATTTTTGTATTAACTAATCAGTTAAATGAAAAATTTTTAATATTTATTTATTAGAAATAAACAAAATAATAAAATACAAGTGATAAATACTTGAAGTGTATTGTATATAAAATAAAAGTATTTGCGTGTGTGTCATATATATATGTAAAGCAGCAGCTTTCTGGTGCTCCGCTGGACAGTTTCAAAAAAACTTAATTGTGTGCATTTAAATATATCAAAATATTATTTTTAGATATCAAAAACAAATGCATTTATAAATAAAAAGTATTTTTATAATAATATATTATATAAAAATGTCTAAAATTGTTGTAGCAGTAGCGCTGCTCTGCTCGGGATTGTTATCCAATTTAACCATAAGGAATGTGTTAGCAGGTAAGAAAATGCTTTAATATAAATAAAATTATGTATAAAAATTTCAACATTTATTAAATTAATTTAATAATAATAATAATAATAAGTGTGAAATGTGCAAAAAAATATACATTAGAAATTGTCCATTAGAATTTGTTGAATTAATTTAAGCCAAGTTTGGGCGTGTACACGTTATGGCTCATTGCTGTGCGTCAGGTTGATAATTGAGTCTTAATACTCTCATTTTGTTCTCTATTTACATTCAGTTGAGCTTGCGATCGTTTCTTAAACATCTCTTGTGTTTTATTTTTTCAAATGTTTTGTTTGGCTTACTGCTTCTTCTTCTTTTATGTGCTGTCAAGTTTGTTTAACTGCTATGATTACGAACAGTGTTGACAAAACAAAGAGTGGAGCAGCTCTCCAACAATTTTCTTATTAGAAAATCCTTAAATCTAATTAATTCTTGATTTAATATGAATATATGAAATATGAATTCTAGATTTTATTTAAATTAAAATTAATATTTTTTTCATTTAAGAAGTTTGTTTAGAAATGGTTTTCTTTGATAATTCTCCAGTTTGTTTCATAACATTTGTGACTCATCCAATACGGAATTCATAAGAATATAATTGTAAAAAAACTTCTCAAATAAATTAGCATATTTAACAAAAATGTCTTATTTGTATCACTTCGATTTTTAATATTAAATAAATTATACTTCACAGAAGTTTATTTCTATTTTAAAGCCATTTTTTTTGGTTATTTTAATGCGATAACCATTAATAAATAATGTTGTATATATGCTTATAATTATATTCTTAAACATCGCTATTAATTTTCTAATAATTTCTTTCAATAATTAATTTATTTTAATTAATAAATTTGTACATCTTCAACTTCTTCACGTCTGCTTATGTTCCCATACCCTCAAATGGGTTTCGCATATGATATCACTGCATTGACCGGCATTTTGCAACGCAGCATCATGACTTGAAGCACCAATGCGCATGCCAAATATTTTGGACCATTTGTGTCCTTGAAAGCAAATCCTTCAAAATCACGTGTTTCGTGTTCTGAAGTTTAAATAACCCTAAAATATTAAAGGCTTTTTATTTACATTTATGGCCTATAAATGTCAATTTAGCCGAATTTGTAACATATATATAGGTTGAAAAACTGATTTTTTAAACATTTTTTTGTCAAATAAATAAATAATTCAAGAAATTATTCAAATAAATCGAGAATTATTCTATCAATTGTATTATAAATTTAAAACTTTCTCGCAGTTCAGACATTTTCAAACACTATTGATAATATTAAGATCTTGTGTACGTACTAGGTGGTTTCATAATTACCTGGCATAAAAACGTATTTTTTTGGATTATTATATTTTATGCTTCAATATAGTCTCCTTTTAGCTCGATACACCAAACCCAACGATTTTTCAACATTTGGTTACCTTTTAAATAACATGATTTATCAAGTCCTGCAAAATATACTTAAGTTTCCTATTCCACTTCATCATTTGTTGCAAATTTCTTTCCTATCTGTTCAAGTTTGGTAACAGTTAATAGTCACTGGAACCCAAATCTGGAGAAGACGGTGGGTGAGAAAGCAATGTGGTGTTTTTTCTTGATTTTCTCATTTAACCGATCCAATAATATGCAATAGTAGTATGATGTTATTGTTTTTCCTTTTTCCAAATAGTCCATGAAAATTATTTCACTTGAATCCCAAAACACAGAAGCCAAAACTTTTTCATCCGATTGTTGAGTTCGTGGCCATTTGGAAACACTATCCCCAGGCTGTAACCATTCTCCGACTTGTTGTTTTCTCTCAGCTGTGAAGTAATAGTTCCGTGTTTCATCAATTGTCACTAATCGGCGCCCACAGTTAGCTATATTGTATAAACATAAACATTTACAAACAATGTTTGAATGACGAAGTCGTTGTCGTTTTTGGTCAATTGTGAGTAAACTTGGCACCCATCTTGTTAATGATGGTGTAAGGTTACCGCAAACAGAATCCATTTCCAATTTGATTGCATCATTGTTTATTCCTTTCAAATGGAGGAATTTTTTTATTGAAAGATATTCAATTTTTTTATTTGTAAAAAGCTGACCAATCATCTGATGAAGTCGAAAGTTTTACAGCTGTCGTTTATTACTTGCCAGATATATAACATACAATTGATTTTGTTCACCGAATATTGAATTCGGTGGACTTAATGTTAGTCTTTAAAGCACACATTAGATTAAGTTCTACAGCTTTCGACTAACTTAGAAACACTTAAATAATTTGCTATCTCATTGAAATTTTAATTTAGACTTCCTTACCTATTTTGAAAATCATTTTCATTCTTTAACATATATTGATAGTTGTCCTATACGTATTAAGATATTATAATCTCTACCAGTTTGGATACAGAAATCATAATACTGTATAATTACAAACTCCACACAAAATCTATGCAAATGTTATATGTTAATATGTTAATGGGGCTTAGTAGTTGCAATTGTTAGTGTAAAGATGGTATTAGTCAAGCTAAAGGATTGCTTTGTTGAAACAATTTATATATGTAAACGTAAATAAGTAGGTTCTGTTAGTACAGATTTAGAAAGTGATGGGACTTAAGATTATTGAACAGATTATTAAAATTAACAGTACAAAATGTAGTAAACCTTTTCCTCTTTGAAAGTTCATTATCTGTAAATGAAGTGCATTTATCTAAATTAAAATTGAAAATGGATCAATGAATCAATATAATATATGCCACCTCATTACATAAGACCCTGTATATATAGAACATTTTATTTTTGTTGCATAAATCCTAATCCTTAAAGCCTAAATCCTATTTACATGTATCAGTTTTAACACAATGTGATTTTAATGAGTTGTTAGCGTGAGTTGTTAATATAATACTCGTGTAATATTCTACATATATTATGTAGCCTATTATTAAATATATCAATTTCATAGTTTCTAAACATTTGCTAATTTGATAAACATTGCAACTATTTAAAAGTTTCTAGTATTTTTATCCTTATCCTTGTCCTTGCTATGACATCTAAGTAAAACGGTTCTGCGGGAAAACTATTACTTATGTTAATGCAAATTCTTTTTTAAAGAGATAAACACCATAGTTTACATTGAAAACCTTTAAGCAAAATAATTAATGAAAAAGAACTAAACCTAGGACTAAATCATATGTTAAAGCTTAAAAATTGACTATATGAAAAGCCATTTGTTCCAATAATTCAAGAATACTGAAAAATCTAATTATATGAAACAGATAAATATATGGACCATATTGAATACTTTATCCATTATAACTAACCAATTTTACATAAGAAAAAATGCCATCATATATAAAGAATTTTTGTTGCTGTTTGTTTCTTTATCTACTTGAAGAACTTAGGGCCTCAGTGACGTATTACCATCTTGTACGATTGTTTGTTATTACTTTTAATTAAAGGAAACAGCGGTGAATATATTGTGCCAATGTCCAGTACTGGCAAGTAGGAAGAAGACTGTCTTGGGACACCATTGGGTTGGTGATGACTTGGCAGGAAAACTCAAGCTAAATGAGCTGCTTGCATTAACAAAAGATGTAGTTATGCGAACGGGAGCCACCCTAGCTTTAACTCAATAACAACATCCGAGAATCGAAGGACGAAAAAGGACCCAAGTAGTTTCGTGGTCTACTTCGACTAATTCTTCAACTCAGTGGGGCCACTTGTTGGACAGTGCGCTGTCCCAACGTCCTACCATATATATATTACTTTTAATTCGTTCCACGATTTCCCTAATGCAGAAATCTCGGCATTTAGCGTTCGTCTCTATGATGTATAGCCAATCTGGATTTTCCGTCTTTTTATAAAATTTAGCATTGGTGCGATGTTGCAGTTTCGGTAGAGTTCTTCCTTGATTATAACATTTGATCATAAAACTCTTATAATTCGTCTTAGGCATCTGTTTACGAAGCTTTGTATTTTCTGTATTATTATTGTTGTTGTGGGCCATGTTTCACAACCTTATTATAGAAATGGGACAACGTTTGCTTTGAAAAATCTAAGTTTAGTGTTGTTTGACGAACACCAGATCTTTCTTAGCTGAGGGTTTGTCAAAATTATTGTTTCTAGATATATGGAATACAAATTCATAATTCGGATTTTTCAACGTTTAATAATGCTGATTTTGTTTTGCAATTATATTTAAACAAATCAGACTCAAATCAACACAGTCAATTATGTATACATTATAGTGACCGGTTAGACTTAACCTATATAAAACCACCCTCTTAATTTCATTGTTTACTTAACATTTTACAAAAGAAATTAGAATCGTAAGTTGTTTTGATTAAATTTAAAAATAAAGAATTGCAATAAAAACAAATTAAAAAGTGAGGTTAAATAGCTTAACCTTTCTTGAAGTTGCTGCAAAACCACCCCTCTAAGCTGAAATCGATTTTTTCCCCACTCTTAAGTGGCAATAGACCGTAAGCGTGAAAGTCAATTATATAGCTCACCGAGCAGTGAGAAAATATATGAAAATATTTTAAGCTTTCAAGCGAAATAAAAATAATGTAGAAATTTAAACAGAGACAAGTATAGAAATGCTTGGATTTAAATAGTACTTCTTATAGGACAGTATGTCCTATAGGACATAATATGCAAAGCAATATCCGCATGCGAAACCGCAAAAAGCCGCCCGCCAAAATATAATCGACTAAAATATTTTAATTAAATTCATAACAAGAATATGTGTTTATAATTTAATTACATTTTCAAAATAAATTAAAAGTCCAAATTTCAAATCAAAATATTATCTTCTTGTATCCTTCGTACGCCCACAATTTGTTATTAATTATTCGTATACTCACCCAAATTTGTATGTAATCCCGTTTGTAATACCAAGAATTGTCCTTCACTGCATTTGTTTGTGATTTCGTTGCACCTCGAAAAATGCCAGATAAATCCTTATAAGCATAAGAGGTTATCCTCAAATGCAAGGGTTGTTTTTACTAACGTCATTTCGAAAGCTACTTTTTACTGTCTGAGGGTTGACGACAGCGTTACTTTTTGATGTACTAGGATTTCCGGCAAACATTTTTGTATTGTTTCATAACCCCCATGTGTGTTGTGTTACTGTAAGAGTTTGCCATTCCTTTTGAAAACAAAAAACCGTGTTGAATGCGTATTAACTTTAAAAATTTATAAAGCACGTTTGCATATTTTCATAGTGGGTGCACTTTGTTAAATTTTAGAATATCTTCCATTATCAGCAAAGGAAACAATACAAAAACGCATAACAATTAATAATGCATATACAGGGTTGTGGAAGACATTTTTGCAAACAACATAGATAGACTTACAAAGTAGATTATTTGCAAATATATAGATTGCCCACTCTGTTTTTATAATTTTTACTCTTAAAGATACTATTTTTAAAATTTCGCACTATTATTATCTTTTTTGTACAAGATAAAATGGGAAAGATTGCTTTTTGAAAAATGGAAAGAATTTCGCTATTTTTCTTAATCCAAATCTAAGCTTGTATCAGAATTTTGTACATCGCTAAACAAAATGTCGATGTATTCAGTAATTAATCTGAAATGAATCCCCAATCATTGGGACTGACGTTTCTGGTAGTTGTGATGCCATTGGATTGGTCATAATCTGCATATGGTTTCGCATTACATCAATGGAGTCAATATGTAGCAGTCCCTAGTTTCAATCAAACTATACATTAGTATTTGATTGATATTGATTGGTATTAGTATTGACTAGTTATTTATAATACTGCATCCATTGGTGAACTACCATATGCAAAATATAATTTACATATGATATGGTTTGGGGCTATGACCCAAAAAATACTAAGCAACTGTATAGGTTTGTTCGTCAATCAACATCTGATACAGTAGCTGTACTAATTGGGAGATGTACTATCGTAGTTGCGGCTTTCATGACAAAAGGAAACTGCAACTCATTTGCTCTGTTACTGTTCGACACTCACCAGAAGGCACTTATCCCTTCTTAAATGACTATCCGATATCAATAGTATATGTAGTAAAAACATTGTCTATTTCATTAAAGTGACGAAGTGTTTCCCGGTCCGGAAAACGGTTCTTTTGAAACGGCTAATGTGCTCATATATATAAACTGTGGTACCACAGCTTATTGCCTAAATCTTGGGGTTTAAGTTAACTGCTCTTTCTGCAAGACCTTCTGCCATTTACATTTTACTCCAACTCCTTAAGAAATGCTACTATGAAGTACGCTTTTTTGTTTCTATTTTATTAAGTTCTTAATTGTAGTGAATTTGGTTACATTTATTACTTAATTGGTTTTATAATTTGTTTTTTAAAAATTATTCCTTATTCCTTAAGGAGAAAACTTTTTCTGAAAATATATTTGCATTAATAGATGAAATCTCATTATAAATCTCATTAATACATTTACTTCTTAGTAAATTTTATATTTATCTGCAATTATATTTTTGATTGGATTCATCCATGTATTATGACAGCAACAAAACAAAAACAGAGGTAGTGAAAAAGCAGAAGAAAAAACGCTAATTGTAAACAAAAGGTAGAAGAAAAATAGTGTCACTTAAATTGTGTCAAAAAATGTTCAATATCATTTACTTAAAGTAATTAAATTAGACATTGAAAATGTTCTCATTATTAAGTGGACTTTTTTTCTGATTAAAATACCTTTTACACAAATAGTTACGTTGCAATTCAATAATGAGCTTAAAGAATTTCAATTCGCAATAAATTAGTAACAACAGATAATTCATTATTATGTACTATGCACGTAAATCCATTTTGTACATACAAACTTACTCCACACATAAGATAACATCGTTGTTGTTGCTGAATTTTTTTTGTACATAATTTTTGCATTTGCATTGCTGCTTCTTGTGCACTTGAAAATGGCAGTCCTCAACTGAATATTGTGCAGCAAAATATTAAAGATTAGTTAATGAGTACTAAATTATTATGTCAGTAGTGAAATAATAATTTCAGTAGAAAAGTAAAATGAAGTTAGTCATTAAAGTCTAAAAAAAAATTTCTACAGAAAATCTCTGAAAACTCTTTCAATATTGTTAAAAATCCAGATGAGTATTCCGTAAGAAATTTTTTAAATTCTCTTTATGTATTATATTACAATCTGTATAATTTAATATGATCATAAGTACTGATTTGAGATTAACTATATATGGTGCATACAAAGGCGTACATGAACTATGTTCAGTGACATACCCATATATATGTATGTATAAAAGAGGGCCTCAGGCATTGACATTAAACTACAAAGCACTACAAGAGACGAAGTTTATTTGTTAATTCGTTTATAAATATTTAAATAAGATGTGCTATCACAATACCAAGAATAAAAAGAACTATTTTTGAAAGAAAACTACTTCGACTTAAGTTGATTAGAAAATGTAATAAATCCGTCGTATATTTTTTTAGACATAGTCTGCAAGTGTCTTCCTCAAGAAGAGCTATCTTTTTGATGTGATATTTGAAGTTTCCATGTCTAGTGATCAATGAAGTCAGCCAATTTTGTCTGCTCCGCGAATAGCTAAGCACTTTTATCGCTTCATCGACCATCGGTTTTAGCATCATGAGCTTAGCTTGTCTACAAGTACTCTTCTCTCTCGATCTGCTAATATGAAATGAAGTTATCCACTTATCGACATAGGCCCCAGTCATGTTGTAACCCCATGGTATTCTGGGCCGCAGAAGTTATGGCTTGATCCTTGATTTGCAAGTTCATTTGCCTTTTCGTTTTGTTCAATATCGATGTGTTCTTAACCCATATGACTGTTATCTCATTTCCATGGGCATATTTCGTAAGCTTCGTGACACATTCTTGTATTAAGCAGTCCAGGTTCCAGGCATTGGCATTGAACTATGGAGCTCGACAGGAGACAAATTTCATTTGTTGCTATTATTGTATGACCAAAAAATTTTTTAAGGATATATTGAACTTTTTATATTGAACTTAATTTGGATGTTTATATGTTAATTCTATTAATATATATCCTTCATTATTAGGAATCGGATTGACTTATGCAATTGGTTACAGTTACTATATAAAGGCATATTTAATGATTGTAATTAATATAATGTTAATGCATTTGTATAAGATATTGGCTTGTCGACCATAACCATTTATAAACTGTATTTATATAAAAATATCATATTAAAATGTTAGAAGTATATAAAATAGAGTAGAAATGAAAATGGGTTCTGGTTTTTAGTAGAACGGAACACTGCTTCCAGGGTTGATGTTTTGTGGTGCTTACCGATTCTAACTTAATAGAAAACACACGACCTTTCGAATAAAAGCCAAAATTTCAGGTCTTGAAAATAGTTAAATTAGATAATGGTACATATATATAGTGGGACATTGGGACAGCGCACTGTCCAACAAGTGGCCCCACTGAGGTAAAGGATTAGTCGAAGTAGACCACAAAACGTCTTGGGTCCTTTTTCATGGTACAAGACGATGGTACAAGTATAAGTTATTACAACACTTGAAGTGCATTTACATTGAATTATATGAAATATTAAAAAATATATATTTCATATTGAGCACTATTAATTCTTTGTTACTACAAGTATTTTTAAACACCCTGTATTTTGAGATTTTATTTTTATCTTTTATGATCTTGCACCTGATTGTGAATAGCACACTTAACTCCACTTACCACAAGAGTGTCAACAAATTGCACAGAAAAAGATGAAATCATTTGAGGCACGGAAACACGGAAACACTTTAGACTTTAATATAAAAAAATTTATCGTAGACCCGAACCCATCCTCCACCAGTAAAAGTACCTGCATAAAAGAAATGCTATTATTTTGTACATTATTCGTGTAAAAAGTCATGTATTGCCTGCGGAAAAAGTGGGCCATTTTAAAATTAAAAATTAATTAAAATATTTAAATTACGCATTGGCTGGGAGCCAAGAATTTCATTTTTCATATTTTCATTTCCTAAAAACAATAAGTGAAACCGAAATTTTTACTTAAAACAATAAATATTTCAGCTGTGAAAATAATGAACAACATAAATATTCAACATTTTCAGATTCCTATAATTATTTTTCCGATTACGAATGCAACATGCCACTTATGAAGAACGCCGTGCTAACAGCAACATCCTCGCTGAATGATCGGGGTCCCGAAAAGGCGCGTCTGAATGGTGAGTACGAAAATAAGAAAATCATATTTGAAGAAGTGTGAAGTCTGATGTATGAAATGTAAAGTGTTAAGTGTGGTGTGAAGTGCATATAAAATTGAATAATTTGTATTATCGCTGAATGATCTGTTGAAGTATGAATGGGATTTTATACGTATATATACATATATCTATCTGTACATAAAGATATAGATATATATGTATAAACATTTTTTATAGCTATTTCCGCTTATTAATTTTGCTTAGCTATGCTATAGCTTCACACAAGTAGTTTATAAATAAATAATATTATTTTTAAATAAATTTGCTATATTTTTGTTATTATTATTTATTTAAAAAGCTTTTTTTATATATAAATGTGTTAGTTTTTTTTTTCTTTAAGATTAATTTATTTATAGTGTAAAGTTATGTTATATTTTTAAATGTTTTATTTTTTCTTCATAATACTGTAGACAATTTTCAATTTTGCTTCCATCTAAACTCAATTAACTTTTACGGTCTCTTCGACTTCAGTAGGCTTATTAATTGACATTTGACATGCACTGCTCCATTTTAAGTATTTACTCGTACACCACTTTATTCTTAGCTATGTTTTTCTTCTTCTGCAGATATCTTTCACTCATCTTAATGTCTTGGAAATTAATAGAAATTTTTTAATAAGATGTGCTATCACATCACCAAGAGTGAAAATAACTATTTTAAAAAATAAAATACTTCGACTTAAGTTGATTAGAAAATGTAATACATCAGTAGTTAAGTAGTTGAGAAATTTTTGTTTAAACATTGCATTCGACATTTTTCGCCTTAAATCAATTGATTTATTTATAATGAACTCATTTATATGACATCTCTTTGCATGGAAAATTATTCACATTGACGACCTCTAATGAGCGAAACTACTTAAATCAGACAAGTCGAAACATGGTATAATAAACAAAATTTTAATTATCTTATAACCTGAATAGTGAATTAAAAAACACTAATACAAATACCACTTCGTAGGAGATATTAACAGCACTTGTGTATATTGTTTAGTATTATAGTAAACACTCTCCACGTAGGCACCGTTTTTTAACGGAAACCACTTCTGAGTGGACGATTACTTAATTTAATACTTTTATCATATTTTGGAATACAGGGATTAATCTTTTGATAAGACAATTCCCTTAAATGAGCAAAAGTTATCTGGTATTGAGTGTCTGCTTACCTTTCTATTTTTCTTATGACTGTCATAATGTGGTTTTTAATTGTTATCAGTTATGCTTAATCCTTCAAGTGGTCACTCTATGTTATATAAAATTTATTTACTTTAACTAATAATAATATAAATAAGCTCAAAAAGTACAACGAAAATGAATTACAAACTTTAGGCTCTTGAAAAAGTTTGGGACGCATTTTAGCATACAGCAATAACATAATAATTTTTTTCTTAGTAATTACGTTGCGATATGATGCTTATATTCATAGTAACTCGTTATTCCGTTTAAACATAATGTTATTTATTATATCTACGAGTATAAATGTATTACATTATATGCCACAAGTACAAGCAATTGAGTTATTGTAATAAAATTAAATATAGGCAGAAGCTTTCAATCGACTGAAAAACATATCAAATAGTATTCATCACAATAAATTACATTTATCAAAGTAAATGACATTTATCACAATAAATGACATTTATCATAATAAATAACATTAAAATGAATTGCATTTATTATGATATAAGTTTTAGTTGGAACATTCCAAGAGCTAAACTAGTATATAATATAACGACATATCAAACCTCTTTAGCATGTTTTGTTACAGTTCTTGTATGGATTTTGTATGAAAAATGCGATATATTGCTGCATATTTGACGAGTTAAGTACAAAAATCTGTTATAATAATTTTTTTCATAGCATTAGAAATTGTGCGCGAGTTAAAAAAAATTCAATATTAATACATTTAGGTAATATTAAAAGTTTTCTTGTTTTTAATCGAACAAGAAAAGGTATCAAATTTACTTTTAATTCGGAATGTTAAAATTCATTGCAATGTAAATTTTTGTTTGTTTTTCAATTTATTAAAACAAATCTCTTTAAAACCTAGTTACAGTAATTGCATTTCGTGATTTTATTTAAATATTATTTTTATTTAATTTATTATGTGCTGTTGCGTTGTCAATGTTTTATAAAATGTTTATTTAAAATGCATATATCTAATATGCAATAAATTTATAAAAAATTAATTATAAGTATTTTTTCAATAAATAAAAGTTAATTATAATTATATTTATAATAAATAAAAATTAATTATAATTATATATACAATAGTTAAAAATTATTTATAAATATTAATTGTTGAATTAAATTCAGTCATTAATTTGGTACCATCAACATGCCTTTACGGTATTAAAAATTTCTGGCTCAAGTTGGTAGCATTGAAACTGTACTCTTTTGAGTTTTGTTATTACTCATTTGAGTGCTTTTTTGACATTTAAAAGTTGAGTGTCAAAGTGACAGCCATAAGGCATACAATTTTAATTCATTTCATACTTTTGTGCAATATTTACAATTATAAGTAATTAAATAAAAATATAGTAATTAGATAGTAATAATTATAATGTCAAAACCAACAATAACACGTTGGGCTTTTGATTTGTCAACATGGAAACCAACAATAGCACAAATGAAACAAGCTGTTGCGGCGCTGCAAGTGGAGGAACGCGCACGCATTGAGAAATTTTGTTTCATTGATGATTTCCTTTCATCGCTGGTTGGCAGACTATTAATGCGGAAATATGTAAGCGCCAGTAGTGGCTTAAACTATCATGAAGTGCAATTCGCACGTGATATACATGGAAAACCATATTGGCTTTTGGATAATGTACCAAATGAAGAAAAAGTGAAATTGCCACGCCTTAGTTTTAATGTGTCACATCAAGGAAAATTTGTGGTGCTTGCAGGCATTACGGCATTGCCTCCCACGGATAATAATAACGTGACAGTTCCAAATTTTGGAATAGGTGTCGATGTTATGGAAATTGAGTATAGTGGCGGTAAGCCTTTGCAGGAGTTCTTTCGTCTTATGCAGAAAAAATTTTCAAAGAATGAATGGACTTATATAAGGCGACCAGAGCATAGTGCGGAAGCTCAATTGAAAGCATTCATGAGGCATTGGTGTCTAAAGGAAGCATTTGTCAAAGAACTGGGAGTTGGTATAACGATAGATTTGCAACAAATCAGCTTTAGTGTCGATCAAAATACAGGGTTAGATGTGGATACCCAACCACTGACGAATATTCAATTATCTTGTGATGATTATGCTGAAGATGATTGGCATTTTGAGGAACATTTGTTGGCTCCTAAATATTGTGCTGCCATTGCGTTTAAAAATTGTAAACCTAAAGCAGAGAAATTTGTTTATTTGAATATAGAAGACTTACTTGTTCCAAGTGACAAAGTTGAGTGTTTGGAAATATTAAATTATTGCGAAAATGCTTTGCTGAAACCAAAAAAACCAAGATGACCTTGTAGAGAAAAGGATTAGTTTTAAAATTAATGCTTCGAATAACTTTATTATAATAGTATAATGAAAGAAATTATTATATTAATTATGTGCTCTGCCATCTCTATCTAAATCTAAGCTAGTTTTAATGATAATTTACCCACCCATTTCTTATAAAAATCCTACCGCTTTTCACCTACTCCCAATCTAATCCATATATTAACTCATGCATTTGTATTATTTCCATGTCTTGTGGTGTATAGATCTCCCACAACCTTGAGATTATTTTTTTTTCCGTATTACACTATACACCACGAAACTGATGACAAATCATAACACAAATAGTTATTAAATTTACCTACCCTACTCTCAATTTTTACCCAATCCATCCCGCTTCTTTTCACATATTCTCTACCTATTCTATATCCTAGTCCATGCATTCGTAAGTTATAATTTTTTCCATGTCTTATGTTATTAAGATCCCTTGAGGCTTTAATAACAACTTGATACTATATTTATTTTTTGCCATACTACACTATACACTACGAAAGCGATTTTCACATATATCATATCATAATTAGTTTGCAAAAAAGCAACATCTATAAACTCTTTTTAAAAAAAGTCAAGTACGGCTTTGGGTCAGTTGGTTGAGGAGCGCTGACTCAGCTTCAAACTTGGCAGGGCACGAGTTCGATTCCTGGTGCTTGCAATCTCCAAAAATTATTTACGAATAATTAAATACAAGACCTATTTACTAGACTTTAATAAATGTATTGGGAAGCAACAATAACAACAATATAATGAAATAGATTTTAATATAATATGAGAAAATTTTATAAAAGTAAATATATATAGTATATAAATGTTAAATATATATTAATATATGAAGTAATATAAAAATATATATATATCATAAATAATATAATAATAATTATTTTCTATCTTTCTTTTAGTATTATAAAATGATTTTATATACTTTTTATCCCGATCTCTGCAATCGGAAATGCAACGCATTTACACTGTTTTTAATTTTTTTTAATTATATTAAAATCTCAACAACTTCGGATTGACATAATTCAGTTTAACTTGAATATTTTAATTTTATAATATCTCTGAAGACGGATAGTTTCGAGACAAAGACCTGGTCGCTCTTAATACCAAGTTATTGTTCAATACACTCAGGCATATTTAAGCACTGTTATGCCAATCATGATGGTGATGATATTTAAAAATTGACAACTAAAATTTTATAGAATAATAAATATTTATAATGATTTATAAATAGTACATTTCATATACATCTATATATAAGTAATTTACTGTATTACTAATATATGTTAGTATTTATTAGTATATATACTATACATAATATATATTAATATATATACTATATATAATTTATACAGTATATATTACTAAGGTCCTTTAATATCCAATATATATATATATGTATATATATTATTAATATATATCAAATAATATATATTGGATATTATACTATATATATATATATATTAGTAATATAGTAAATTACTAAGAAGTCCTTGAATATCCTTAATCAATTAATAATATTCTAGCTAATTTCGTATAATTAAATACTTAGAATGACAGATTCATGAAAAACAAACAAAACAAAAACAATTTAAACGCTAAAAAAGAATAAATAAACCACATTGCAGTATGTTAAGACTATTAGGGGAATATGGGAAATGTGTCAGACATAAAGCAGACAACTTCATAAGTATGGAATGGGCGGAAGTGGCAGGATAACAACTAAATAAATGGGCTCCATAGCAACGTTAAGCACTGTTGATGTAGTAAAATTTATGTTATTTTTGTATTTTATTTTACTTATTTATTTATTTATTTTGTTTTGTTTTTTTTTGAAATAATTCGAAAAGTTTTATCAATGCACAAAATGTGTAATAAAATAAGATATTGTTTGGTTTTTATGATTTTATGTTAAAGTAAATGTACTGATTTGTACTTATTACCATGAATACTGATAAACTATATTTTAATATTAGAATAATGAATTTGTAAATATAGATAAAAGTAATAAAATATTTTTGTACGATTTGAGTAAATACAATTTATTATTCACTTATAGAATGTGTTAAAATACTATTTACTATTTAGAAGAATGAACATATGATTCTGGAATAAATCTTTAAGGAGCAGTGCAAAAGCATAGATTAAAGATTATTTCCTGTAAATATGACCTGATCAAATATGATGACTTATTACTACTAAAATCAATGGAGACTTTATAAACTCTTTTTAAAAACGCGAAGTGCTATTTTCTAGACTTTGGATAGTGTTGCAAATAGCTTTCGAAAAATCATTTTAAAATTATTATTTAATCCAAACTGTTTTTTATTGAAACTTAACTTTATAAAATAAACGAAACAAGCAAATATCAAACGTAGATAAATATGAAGTCACATTTTTCTATTAAAAAATAATTTGTACCTTAGTTCCTTATAGTACGTAAAATATCCTAGAACAGAACTAGAAGTTTTCTTGTAGATATTAAGTTTCTTTAACTAATAACCTCTGTCGTTGATGAGATTTACAATATACAATTACAACAAAGTTAAGATTTTTCACTTTGATGAACCTATTCTACGCCAGAACTCTAGGTTAGGTTAGGTTAGGTTATACCATCGATCTAAACGGGATCCACTTAGGCCTATTGGTCTATTGTTCTGCCGAATAATAGAAAAACTTGAAGTTTAATACCACCTAAAACCTTTGGCAAGGCTTAAAATGCGTTTTAGAGGGAGGTCTTCTAGTTGATCAAGAACCTCAAAGAGTGGGGGTGGCTCCTAAAGTGTAGAGTCACTGCCGTGCTTAAACTGGGCAAAGACAAAGCAGTTGAAAGGCACTTTTATCGTCTTGACCACAGCTGCGACAGGTATAATTGAAGGGAGATTTAATTTTCTAGCATGGTGATCCAATCTGCAGTCCTTGTGATTAACTAGTAGTATTATTTATTCTGTATTAACCAAAGTTAAGAATATGTCTTTACTTAAGAATATTATAAGAATCGGTTCACACTGAATGATTTTTACAGGATGGTTTTTACTGTACCGATATTTTGGTGCACAACACTCTTACACTGCATAATTTGAATTTTTTCACAATCTGTTAATTGATGATTTCTATTATATCTCGTTCATTGTGTAATAAAATCGCAGTTTCTTCTCATTCATTTCATTATATCTAATCTATTCAAAAATTATTATCTGATTAGCGCAAGTGCGCATTTTAAAAGGCTATATAGTGTATTAAAAGAATGATAAAATCTATGTCTCATTCATCAATTAAGTGTGGAACTGAGCTTAGAAAAGTAGTTATCTTAAAGTAAATAGACATGTAGATAAAGATATGGAATTCAGATTTCGACTGTAGCTTTGTGATCAATAGATGTTTTGTACTACTCATCTTTGTAATTCAATAGAAGGCATTCTGTTTTACTAGTGAAAACCAAAATGTTTTCGTTTGGGATTTCTTATTAACAAACCGATCAAACGAGTTCTCATCCCAGAAACTGCCTCTGCTTATAGGAGTACTATTGCTAAAAAATATGTATAGAGTCCGGTTAACTACTTTTCACACAATTTTTTCTTACTATATAACGATTTCAGATTAACTGATATCTAACTTCATCTCTAGATTAGTAAGGTTCTTATTTTTGTTCATTTAATTTGATTGATTTCTTTTTTTTTCTTTCATTTGTTGAACTTATTAAAGTTTATTTCAATAAACCAACCGGTTACACACTAAGAACAATAGTTTGCTAATTATTATTGAAATAATTATTAAAGAACACTACATAAATATGGTACCATATATATGAAATTCGATACCATGGGAACAATATAAATTAATTTGATTATTATTCATAATTCCAATGAGAAACCCAGAGAGGTTCCATTTAAAAGCGTTTAATCAATGAAATGAAGCATAAAATTGTTAAAAAGGAGCAGCTGCTTTCTAAGTAAAAATTAGGCAGGACTTTGTGAAATGTGTAACCACAAATTAGAGCGCAATCCTTCCGCTGCAAGAAAGGATAACTAAAAACCAATCGAAGAAAAGGTTTCCATATAATTTTTCTGCTTGAATGGCGTTTCCGAAAAACAATTTCAAGTGTGCATTGTTTATTTTATTTTTGCTTAAATTGTTTTTAACACAATGCAATTTATATTTTCTGCTAAAATCGTAAAAATCATAAAAATTCCTTTCCCAAACTGAATTTAAATTTATTTAAGTTTATTTTGTAGTTCATTGTTGTTTTTATATATTTCGTGACCATTTAGTGTTGACACCCCCTGGTGCGGTGTTAGTGTGCGGCGCATGGAAGTAAGCACCCTTCTTCGATATATTAAATAATAACTGCATAGGATTTGTTTATCCTTGTATTATGTCGTCCAAAAAAATTTAATTTTATTGCAAATTTCATTTGTGCAGTGTTAGGGGAAGCGTTCAGGTTCGGCTTAGGGTTGCTCCTTGTACTCGTAATTGCTGTTGCAATAAAGGATTTCGCTGTAGTTGCATTTGTTTGCATTGTGCGATTTGCAAATGATTTTTTGAAACTGTAACGACCACTTTAAATCTGCAATAAATTTTACTTCGTTGAAAAAGATTTGTTAAAATTATTTACAATACCACCAGCCAATACTGTGACCTTCCACGTCAGAAAAAATTTATAGTAGAGATTTTTACGGATTTAATTGCTTGTGCTCGTTCAAAATGACAAGAATACTTTAATCCTGCCCTCATTAAGTACAACAGTTCAGTTAAGTTTGTTGTGCCTAAATCGAATGCTTTAATTGCATCCTGAAATCGGCAATGTGGGTGTTGCATTTGGGATAGTTTCTGTAAATGACATCATTTGTTAGAACTTAATTTGGTATTTTGTAGAGTTTATTGTTGGGTTATTGTTTTATCGTAGCAAACTGAATTTCCATTTTAAAATCAAAATACATTTAACAGAGGAAATGTTTTGAAAATTTGGTGTTGATTTTAAATTGTTGAGTTAATGCTTTATAAGGGAGGCCGATTCGTCTGCACAGTTTGTACAAAGAAATTTGATATTCAGGTGTGGTTTAATTAAAGTTTGATTTAAAGCATATGAGTAGGACCATTTTAATTTCATAAATACATATATAAATTTCACAATATTAATAATCATAGTAATATAGTATAATATATATATATATAATAGTAATATTTTCTATAAAGCAGGAAAGTTTATAAATATGAGGAAATTGATATTATTAATCCTTTCTTCTCCATGTATTATGTCACTGTTCGACGAACTATTAACTTCGTAGGAAATGTTTACTTTAAGCACAGTAGAACATAGAGAGTGTGGCGAAGTTCCCAAGCATAGTTCTTCAAAAAATAATATACTTTATCTACTCTAAGTACTTGACGAAGTATTAACTTCGTAGGAAACACCTACTTCAAGCACAATTGGACATAGAGAGTATTAAAACGGCGCTTATGTGGTACTTGAATAGTAGAGACAGCTCTGCTGTCAATCAAGTACAATCGACTTAACAATCCTTATAAGATTTATGATTTAAGCAAATGTTTTTTCTAAAAATATATTAGATGTGGTTGAGAAGCTGAGATAGATCTCCGAATAATACCATAATGAACTCCAGGCCAGACCTGTTGTACTATATTTATTACACACTATTATATATATTACAATAATGATAATAATAAATACTCTATCCAAGAGTTCAAAAGCTTTGAAGCGCAACCTCTGAATTGCTCATATAATTGAATCGAACTACTAACCAAAAATTTGGCTTTGTTGAGCCATCAAGCTACTCAATCAAACCAATTCAAAAATTTATGCGTTAAATTTCTTAAATCATTAAACGAATAATCAGTTTTGTTTTGAATAATCTTACTCAAAGATATCTATGGTCGCCCATGTCACCTATTAACATGAAGATTTCATGTCAGTGCTGCTAATGGGATGTTATTTCATTAAACAGAAGGTATGTGTGTTAGCTCTTAGTAATTGATAGTTCTAGGACATTATATTATATTTGTAAAATATATATTAGAAATGTATTACATAAACAATCACGGAGGTCAATTTTATCAATTTATAATTAAATTATTTTTCAAGTAAAATAACTTCTAGAGAGAAGTCGCCTTGAAATCAATGTTATTCTATATACTGGATACAAGGTAGAATATTATGCTCTCAAAACTAGAGAACATATGTATATGGAAGAATAGGTAAAGAAAGCATGCCTGCCTTTCGATTCCTGTAAAAGAATGATTATTTGAGTAATTATTATTATTATCGTTATTATCATTAATATCTTTTTTAGAAGTAGAAGGAATTAGGACTCATTGAATTATACGAAGTTCTATAGGTATATACTGCAGTTATATGCTAAATACTCTGGTATGACTGATCGACCTGGTGCTAAGTACTGACTATTTCTATCTTTTGATATAATTTTTCATACAATGAAATAAAGTTAACATATCTTTACTGATCGTTTAAAAATGGAGTGTGGAGTAGGCGCATGCATGTAATAAGCTCAAAAAGACGTACCACCTTCTTAGCCAATCCAGTGTCTTCTAAATCAAAATATTTGTCGCTTGTTCCTGAAAATAACTTAATTAAACAGAATAGCAGGTAAAATTGCTATTCGGACTCTTTTCAATCATATTTAAATGAAATCAAAGATAGTGACAAAGATAGTGAAAAGCTCAGGTGAGATCAGTGAGTAACTAATGTGAATTTCCTATGAATTTATTTCCCATAGTCATCTTTAGTAGAAGAACATTAAAAATTTAAAATTAAAATTAAATTAGTTATTGCCTTTAACTAGAATTGTAAAAGGCGCAAAGGGAAGGTGGAAAAAGTGAGATGAGGGAAACTCTGACCAACTAAATATAGGTGGTTTAGACTTGCTATAATATTTTTAATATTGAAGTATAATGTTATTTCAGTTATTTTCTTGAACTGTACGTAATCTATTATAAGGTTACCTTAAAATAAAGCTCCGTTAACTCTGATGGGGGTCTGAGATAAGTCACCTGAGGTAAGAGGTGTTCATTCTGAAAATTATCTGTTATTGTCTACTTAACGAAGTCACATGTTTCCGATAGTCGAAGACATACTACCACTCTAGTTAAAGTATCAGTATTCTCAAGAAAGGTTAACTAACACTAACACAATGAAACTAGTGGACAGCGCTTGCTTCCCAAATAGTAGCAAATACTGATATATAGATAAAGTAAACGAGGTATCAATGATTTTTTTTAGGAGTCAATAATGGAAGCATTTTATTTTATTATATTTTATATATGACTCAATAAGTTCGTTTATGTAAGGATTCTCCATGGGCGTAGTCAGGGTCTTTGTCCCATGGGCTTCCTCTGGCAAACTTTGAGTAGTCTCTTAACTATTTTATATTGTTATGAGTTATGTAAATACATTTATTTAAGTATAATTATAATTTTATTGATTTATTATAATAATTTTTATGTGAATTAGGAAAGAATGCATGCTTTTAAAATATTGTGGTACGATATTTTTATATTTTGTAATTTTTTTCACATATCTTACCAATATATTTTTTATACCTTGTATATTTTTTATTTACTGCTTTTTTTATTATTACATTTGATTTTATTTATAAATATTTAATTCAACAACAACAACAATGTTCTTGCAAAACTTAGCTGGAACATCGTGGTCAGCTAAAAATTCAGACTTTGATCAACGTTTAATCATTGATTTGGGAAACGTTAAAAATGTGACACACATTGGGCTGCAAGGACGTCCGCACAGTAATGAGTACGTGACCGAGTACACCATTAGTTATGGCATCACAGATTTAGAATTTGCGGACTACAAAGAACCTGGGGGCAATATAAAGGTAAGTGGCCTAAAATGTGGTGTCGGATAAGTGAAATGGAAAGCAAATGCATCCGGTTAACATAACAGCACGCAACTGAAAATATGCATACAAAGCCGCAATGCGAATGTAACCCAGCATTTCTATGAACAAATCCTTTAACAATAACACATATTCTGCAAGGATTTGGTATAACGGGTTTAAAATAAATTTCTGAAAGTGGGACATTTTCGCACGCAAATGTTGTGCACGAAAATTTATTTATTTAATTTTTTTTAATATTTTTATTTTAGTAGTTAGAAAGAACCTTGCACTTAATTTTTGTTTATTTCCTAATTTTTAAAATTACTTAAAATTATTTTACTTGTTTAAATATTTTTTTTATGTGTGACTTGAGCTTTGGCTAGTAACTAACTTGATATGTATATATATTATTAATATTATAAAATCAATACTTTTACTAACCAAATAAAATTTATAACTTTATTGCTTTATTTAACATTTTAACACTAAAAAGGCAACTCTGCTTGGACCCCAGTCGAGAACACGTATAATCACTTTTTAACACTCGATTTGGGTGATAAACGTACAACACGCAAAATTGCAACTATGGGTCGCCCATACACTAACGAATTTGTTACTGAGTATATCGTGCAGTATTCGGATGATGGCGAGTATTGGAGATCGTATGTTAATCCCTCTAATGAACCACAGGTAAAAATATAGATAATTGTTTGTTTAGTGTACTGTGATTGTCCTTAAAGCCCTTGGGGAGTAAAAAGTATAACAAAGAAAATATAGTCTTTTGAATACAATGCACATAATAACATATATGAGTGCTATGAATTTGAATAACTTGACTATTTTTAGACTATCATGTTCCTGAAAATAGGAGATCAGGTTTACACTATATTAATGTTAGGTTTTACTAGTTAAGCTATCCTAGTAAACATGAAAAAAATGAAGCATTTTCTGTGGGTTTAGTACTTATTCAGTTTCCAGTTTGAAAATGAAATTGTTATGTTAGGTTAGGCTAGGATGAAGTGGCGACTTTGGAGTCTTTTCTACCGGCTTAGTATGTATTAAGTTCCCTGTTAGAAAATAGAATTCTTAAATTAAGTTAGGTTAGGATTATGAAGGCCTTATCGAGGCCTTATCTAGGCTTTTATAATAACTTCATGTAACCTTTGCCATAGGGAAAGGGTTTTAATAATTTAAAACAGTATTAGAAAAAATGGTTGATTGTAGAGGCAGGTCAGAAGTTATCTTTCCTCTGGCGATTATTCATCGCAAATTTCACTATTACCATCCTCGCAAGAAACCTAAAGAATTAAAATAAGATTCATTTCTTTGAATTTATGTCCAATAAAATGTTAAAAAAATACTTCCTTTAAAACTTGTTTCTTTTGGAAGTCTAAAATGGGCAGTCAAAGAGAAAATACTTGGTTGTTTCTTTTTCCTGTAAATTTCTACAACTTTTGCAATGAGTGCTTAAAGGATTGTACAGTTTTAATACACCAGTAACCAGAGAGAATTGTAGTGAACATTATATTCATGGGAATTAGCATGTCTTGTTATATGAAGGCCAGGAAAAGAATGGAATATATAGAAATATCTTTCAAAAATATTGAATACATTTGTAATCATATTTAACTGAATTATTTAACGATGATATTTTATAGTAATTAAATTATTTTACAAATAATTTTAGTAAACCACATTAAATTAATATTTATTTGCTTACTAGGCATTTGTGTATTGTTTAATTCTAAAGTCACACTCTTTCATAATTCTATCTAAATGTGGCAAGTACAATATAATAGGGATTAATCTAAATATGACTTATTTTTAACTCTTCGCCAATAAATACAAAAAACCGCATTTTGTCCTTTCAAAACTAGATGATATCTTATTTAAACACTCTAGTCCAGACATCTTTTGAAAATCCTTTGTATTATATATATTTTATTATAAAAAAATATATATTTACAATTTATTTTTAGTTTGAAAGACTTTCTTAAACATATATTCGGGTTTTTGATCCCTTTTAGTTAGGATATCAGATTTGAAGAAGTCTTAAAAATAGGCGTTAGTTCCTGTGATGATAACTTTCTCGTTGGAAATAAATCTTCTACCGACATAATGTAGCAAAAGTGGTTGGATCAGAAAAATTCGATGATTGAGGTAACAAATCATTAGTTCTATGTTCATTCTAATAAACTGTAGTTGTGTTTCCAAACCGATCTTGGAATATGTTTAAAATAAACTAGATTAATACTTACTTTCTAAAGTGATGCGAATACACTTTTGAATGTAATTGGGTTTAGATCAATTGTGGATTGTTTTTTTATTTCCAATTTACTTTCATCATAAAACTGGCGAACATAATATAGTAAATTTTTTTAATTTCATCGGGTTTAATGCCATATATTGGACATTTATTACGTTCACTGTCACTAGCACTTGTAATAGCATCATGAAGTTATATTGTTATTGTATATATCTTACATTAAATCTCTTCTAAGGTGATGGTTATATAAGAAAAAGATTTGGTAAGCTTCATAATTTCATTAATCAATTTCTATATTTGGCCAGACAAAACTCTTAAGGTATTATAAGCTTATAGGTCTAATTTTAAATGTGATTTATGTGCTGTGTTTAATAATGCAATCCTAACATATTGGTGTTAGAAAGTGTCACTAAAAATGCTTTTAAAATCATATAATATTTTGGTTTGGCTTTTTGTTCTATGTTCTTGAAAAAATATTTATTAATAACTTTTAATTATAATTAATAACTCAATTATATTATAGATGTTCAAAGGTAATTCCGACGGTAATTCAATACATTATAGCGTATTTGATGTACCGATTATTGCTCAATGGGTTCGCATAAATCCAACAAGATGGCACGATCGAATTTCCATGCGTGTAGAACTCTACGGCTGCGATTATGGTAAAAATATAATAATATATACTTAACATATTTTTTAAATCCATTTTATATAATTATCTTCATAAAAAAGTGTCTGATAATTTATACTTCAATGGCACTGGACTTGTACGGTTTGATCTTCAAAGAGAACCCATAGCATCGACAAAAGAATCTATACGTTTCCGTTTTAAGACTGCAACTGCCAATGGCATAATGATGTACTCTCGCGGTACACAAGGCGACTACTTTGCACTACAACTTAAAGACAACAAAATGGTACTGAATTTGGATTTAGGAGGCGGTGTCATGACTTCACTATCAGTAGGCAGTTTGTTAGATGACAATGTTTGGCATGACGTGGTTATTTCACGGAATCGTCGTGATATTGTTTTTTCAGTTGATCGCGTATTAGTTCATGGACGTATTAAGGGTGATTTTAATCGCATTAACTTGAATCGTGAAGTGAGTATTATGTTTCTCTTCTAATATTCAATTTATAATACGTGAAATTCAATTATAGCTTTTCTTGGGTGGCGTGCCAAATATACAAGAAGGAATTGCTGTACCACAAAATTTCAGCGGTTGTTTGGAGAATATTTATTTTAATGCAACAAATTTCATACGTGAAATGAAAGAAGCCTTTGAAATTGGTGAAAATTATCGTTATCAAAAAGTGAACACCGTATATGCCTGTCCGTCACCGCCAATTTATCCAGTAACATTCACCACACGTAACTCATTTGTACGTCTAAAGGGTTATGAAGCCCAGAAGACGTTAAATGTGTCATTCTATTTCCGTACTTATGAAGAAAGAGGCATGATGCTTCATCATGAATTTGCTTCAGGAGGTTTCGTTAAGGTTTACCTAGAGTATGGTAAAGTGAAAATTGATTTAAAATTAGGTGATAAACCACGTATTATACTTGATAATTATGATGAAAAATTCAATGATGGCAAATGGCATTCATTCGTTTTAACCATGGCCCGTAATAAATTAGTCCTGAATATCGATCTACGTCCTATGACAACTACTAAAACTATACAATTTTCGACTGGTCGTACGTATCATATTGCTGGAGGCATAGACAAACATGGTTTCGTTGGTTGTATGCGTTTGATACTTGTTGATGGCAATTATAAACTGCCAAAAGATTGGGTGCAAGGAGAAGAAGTTTGTTGTGGTGATGAAGTGGTTGTTGATGCTTGTCAAATGATTGATCGTTGCAATCCAAATCCATGTCAACATAATGGTGTTTGTCATCAGAATTCAATGGAATTCTTCTGCGACTGTCAACACAACGGTTATGCAGGCGCTGTATGTCATACTTGTGAGTTTAAAATTATTTAATTGTAATTCGAATGTGCTTATGATTTAACTTATTTTATATTATATATATATTTTTTTAGCAAGTAATCCACTTTCCTGTCAAGCATTTAAGAATGTGCAACATGTACAGCAACGCGTGGATATCAACATCGATGTTGATGGCAGTGGACCGTTGAAACCTTTCCCTGTTACTTGCGAGTTCTACAGTATGTATATGCATATATTAAAAAAATTATGTACTAATATTTTTTCATTGTTTTTTTATAGCTGATGGTCGTGTGGTTACAACTTTAAGTCATAGTCAAGAGCATACGACAACTGTTGACGGTTTCCAGGAGCCTGGCTCGTTTGAGCAAAATATTTTGTACGATGCTGATATGCAACAAATTGAAGCACTTCTGAACAGATCACATAGCTGCTGGCAACGTTTAAGTTATTCCTGCCGTTCGTCACGTCTCTTCAATTCACCTTGTAAGTGAAATAAAAAATATAATAAACAATATTTAAGATTGTATGGATAAGAAGCAATTTTTCTATATTTTTTTTTACTTATTTATAACTTAAGTTCCCACAATTTTAGTTAACATTAGTACTTCAAATTCTTCGAGCATAATGTTGCTTATATGTTATGTTCGAAATTGTTCAATGTACTCTGAGAAATTTAAAGTACGTAAATAGCAAATCTGCTTTATGTTTCATTGAGCGGTTCGAAATGTTATGCTTGAGCATAAGTGATCAAACATCAAAACACTAGAAATTTCAACTAGTCAAATATAATTTGCAGCATTACTTTACACAAATTTCTCTGTTCTTTTTGTTGCCACTCTATCTTTTGTATTTAGTAATTGTCAAATGCAGTTGTTTTGATCAGTTCTTTTGAACAGTTCTCTTGAACTTTTCAGTTTCAACCGTTCTCTTGAACTGTTCTTTTGAAGCGTTCTCTTGAACCGTTCTCTTGAACTGTTCTTTTGAACCGTTCTCTTAAACTGTTCTTTTGAACCGTTCTTTTGAACTGTTTTTTTGAATCGTTCTCTTGAACTGTTCTTTTGAACAGTTCTCTTCAGCAGTTCTTTGGAAAAACTGATATAATCATCTTTCGATATCAACACATATAAATACATATAGATACATTTTAATTCTTTTCATATTTATTCTAGCTGAATCTGGTAATTTCCGTCCATTCTCTTGGTGGGTATCACGACATAATCAACCAATGGATTATTGGGCTGGTGCGTTGCCAGGTTCTCGCAAATGTGAATGCGGAATTCTCGCTAAATGTCACGATCCCACAAAATGGTGTAACTGCGATTCGAATAGTTTAGAGTGGACAGAAGATGGCGGCGACATACGTGAAAAAGAATATTTACCAGTACGTGCTCTGAAATTTGGTGATACCGGCACACCTTTAGATGAAAAACAAGGACGTTATACATTAGGCCCACTACGTTGTGAGGGTGATGATCTATTTAGTAATGTAGTAACATTCCGCATAGCTGATGCTACAATTAATTTACCACCCTTCGATATGGGACATTCAGGAGATATCTATTTGGAATTTAAGACAACTATTGAGAGTGCCGTATTATTCCATGCAACTGGTCCAACAGATTATATTAAGCTTAGTATTATTGGTGGTAATAAATTACAATTTCAATATCAAGCAGGCAGTGGACCATTGGGTGTGAATGTTGGCACAAGTTATCATCTCAATGACAATAAATGGCATACAGTTAGCGTTGAACGTAATAGGTATATATATTAACTTACACTCAAAATTTTAAAAATATTAATATCACTTTAATTTATAGAAAAGAAGCTCGTCTCGTCGTTGACGGTTCTATAAAAGCTGAAGTGCGTGAACCACCAGGTCCTGTACGTGCACTTCATTTAACATCAGATTTAGTTGTCGGTGCTAATACTGAGTACCGTGATGGTTATGTTGGTTGTATACGTGCTTTATTGCTGAATGGTAAAATGGTAGATCTTAAGGAATATGCAAAACGTGGTCTTTATGGTGTTACAGCAGATTGTGTTGGACGCTGTGAATCAAGTCCTTGCTTGAATAATGGTACCTGTATTGAACGTTATGATGGATATAATTGCGATTGTCGTTGGAGTGCATTCAAAGGACGCATTTGCGCTGATGGTAAACATATACTTAAGCATTTATAGTAGGAGTTATTCAGTTTAAATTTTTTAATTTAGAAATTGGTGTCAACTTGCGGTCCAGTTCGATTATACGTTATGAATTTGAAGGATCTTTCCGTTCCACAATTGCTGAAAATATCCGTGTTGGATTTACTACAACAATCCCAAAAGGTTTCTTGCTAGGTTTTTCATCTAATTTAACAGGCGAATATTTGACTATACAAATATCTAACTCAGGTTTGTGTTTACTTAATATTAAATTAATGAAATGATTTGTTTTATTTGCGATATATTTAAATATGGATTGCCTAATATGATTTTATTATTTCTTATTTAGGTCATTTACGTTGCATTTTTGATTTTGGCTTTGAACGTCAAGAAATTATTTTCCCCAAGAAACATTTTGGCTTGGGACAATATCACGATGTACGTTTCTCACGTAAAAACAGTGGCTCTACAGTGGTACTTGAAGTAGACAACTATGAGCCACAAGAATATCATTTTGATATAAAGGCATCAGCTGACGCACAATTCAATAACATTCAATATATGTACATTGGTAAAAATGAATCTATGACTGATGGTTTTGTAGGTTGTGTATCACGTGTACAGTTTGACGATATATATCCACTGAAGCTCATGTTCCAACAAAATCCACCATCAAATGTTAAATCACTTGGAAGTAAGTGGTATTAGTTTCATATGAAAAATTTGTTATTTTATTGTATTTTTCTTTAGCACAATTAACTGAAGACTTCTGCGGTGTTGAACCAGTAACTCATCCGCCTATCGATATAGAAACCAGACCGCCTCCATTGGTGGATGAGGAAAAACTAAGAAAGGCTTATAATGAAGTGGATGCAGTACTGTTAGGATGTAAGTAACTTTTTAAATTCATTATAAGAAAAAATAATCTTCTAGGTGTCTTCGTTTGTAATAATAATGACCCATTGTAAGTATATAAGTATATATATTATGTTATATACTATTACTTTATTTACGATAGTTGAAAAAAGCACATGGAACAAAGAGTAAAGTTTAAATTTTAAATAATTTTTAAATTGTGTAAAAAAGAAGTGTAGAATCATGCGAAATGCTAAAAAAATTGTATAGTAATGAGACTGCCATGGGTTTGGCCTATTTTGTAACCACTTACAGTGAACAAAACATGGAGAAAGTCAAAAAAGGTATTCGAACAATTCCTGTGTGTTGCGAAACTTATCATATATGAAATTAGGATAATGAGTAGAACAGCCTATTAAATTTTGACAAAGATGTAATAATAATGCCGAAGGCCACCGAAGGAGGTAAAAGAACAAAAATGCTGACAGAACAAAAATTCGACCGCATTCAAAGGGAATTGTTCACAATGAATTCGTACCATAAAGTGCAACGCAGAATATTATCTGGGAACTCTACTACTTCTATATGTATCAAAATTTTTTGATCCAAAATAATGAAAGGCAGCCAGTTGGTTTTTATTGTGAAATAATGCGTTATCGTACAAAGCCCTCAGAGCATCATTCTTATCAGTCATTCATCATATTAAATTTATTTAGCTTCATGTGACTTCTAAATTAAATTTGACGATGATCTTCAAATGATATATTGCAAGTAATTTTGGCCGATAGGTTTGAGAAATTCGTTGAACGATTCAAGAGCTGTGTTGCTTTGGAAGGGGATAATTTTGAATAAAAAAATGATAAAAGATGAAAAGGATGAACACTTTGTATATTTTAAGACTTGTTTCATCGGATAAGACCTACCATATATATAAATGTTTGATAACGCATTATGTTTGCAACGAAAAAACGGTTCTTGATAGTCTTTTATCAGAAATCTCTAAAAATGAGATTCTTGAGATCTTATGCTATTCATGCTCATCTCATGTAGATCTCTCTACTTTTTCGTGCAGCACGAACTGTCTTTATTCTATTGAGGTCAAAATATAACCATTGGACAGACAGTTAGTTGGCACGCAGAAACACGTTTCTTCCCAAGATGTATCCTCATTACTGCTCACTGTACTTCACATATTCTTCCGTTTTTATGTTATAATAATTATACTTAATTAATTCATATTGATTCGTTTCATCAAAGCTACAAACTTCCTGTAAATTTTATATAGAACATTTATTTTATATTTATGTCTATTACTAACATGTTCTATTGATAACAGTTTTTTTTTTATAAAAATTAACAATCAAATTAATATATATTTATATATATGTTTCATTTCAAAATTATAATAATATATATATTTTTTTTTTAGGTTTGCTTGTTATATTGTTCCTGTTACTTTGTCTTATGGGCTTCCTTATTGGTAGATATCTGCATAGACATAAAGGAAATTATCTGACACATGAAGATAATGGTGCTGATGGCGCAGATGATCCTGATGAGGCTGTCATGCATTCAACAACAGGTCACCAAGTGACTAAACGAAAAGAATGGTTCATATAGTTCGGTTTGCAAGAAGTAGTCGACTGGACTGCTTAAAGAGACATAGAGCAATCGTCACCTACACCAAACTAAAACAAGTACACAAACGATAACACAATTGTTAAAAATCAGAAGTTAAACGAAAGATACATTTTGAAAACGAAACACTGCAAGCGACTATAGGCATGAAGCAAAAACCAAAATCAAATTCTAAAAAGAAAAGAACACAAATTTCATATATAAGAGTTTGTACTTTATGTTCTTCACACTGCCAATTTTTTGCGCAATTTTTCTTTTTCATATTCGAAATCAAAATTGTATATTAAAAATGATTTTTTTTTATCCGTCACTTTTAGTTTACTTACCATTTTGCTTTGTTATCTTTTGTTTAATTTAATTTTTTTCATTAGTTTATTGTAAAATTAAAATAACCATATTTTCGTCAATAGTCAGTTAATTTAGAATATAGCCTATACTTTTGACACCGTCCATTATTTTTTATTATTAATTCTAATTTAGTTTAATTTTAATTTTTTATTAAACTTTTACTTTATATTTAAGTCGGAAAATATTAACTTTAAATGCATGATTTTGGAATGCATAATTTTTTTTATCGTTACAATGTTTACAAATTTTAATTTAATTGTAAATTAAATTCATTCAAAATTATATGCTTTAATGCTTAAAAGCGCAGCCTAAAAAATCTGCAATCTTAAATTTGATTTTAATTCAAATATCTTACATTCCATTAAATCTTGTATAAATTAAATTATACTTTTTTCATAAGAATAATAATTTGTTAAAAAAAACTTATACGTATAAAAAGAGCGCTATTATAGAGTTTATATATAACAAAAAATTAATTAATAGATATGTATAAAAGTAAAATCGTTTCTTATATTAAAATAAACGAAATTTATAAATTTATAAATTTATTAAATATAAAAAATAAATTTATATTTGTAATAATTTTTTATTATAAAACGAAATAAATTTTAATTAATACACACAAATATTTGAAGTTATTTATATTATTGATTCTCGATATTAATAACGTAACATTTTCGGACAGCCAATCTGCTATTAAATCTCAGTATTAATTTTCGTTATTAATAATTTTGGTACAGCCACATTCAACTAGACTTCTTTCAATAAATTGGTTCGGACTTCAATTTGTTTTATTTAGACAAGAATCATTTAAATTAGCTGCTTCAATTAAAGTGGAATTTATTCAGCACTATGGTATCGGCACTGACAGATCACTGCGTGTTGATAGGATATGCAAGGAGAATAATAATCTATACAATAATCTATAATGATGGCGCGTTTGTGGTTATATAGGGGAGAAACTGTGTTTCACTCTATATCTTAGTGCTCGTTTTTAGATAATAAAATACCTAACGCTTTGATAGTTCTTTTCTTACTGGCAATGATATAACTGTTAACCTTTTAAATTAGAGATATTGTCAAATTTGTTAACTTGTCAGGTTGGTATATTTTTATTTATATAGGATAGTTGTACTTTTTCTCTACGTTAGTGGCGCCCTAACCGTTTCATCTTTATTTCTATTCTGGTGGTCTGCGGTAAAAATTATCATAATCCATGATACCACAATGGGCCATTATTTCTACAGAAGACGACTGAGTGTGTCAAGGTGATTACTCTAATTTAAGTTATGTTTAGATTTAAGTTTGCTTCTAAATAATTAATTATGGTATATATTACAAAATATATTACAGATGTTTGTACAATTAATTACTTGTCTCCTTGTGCTCAAAGCCCACCTAAGCTTCAATAAAGGACAGTTGCAGTACCACAAAGGTCAGGGTAAAGGTTAGCGTACAAGCAACGTGAAAAGCCACGACTTCCCCATGAGATAAAAATGAACCAACCTGATAAGCCTATAAACTTGTTTAAGTCGCTTATTTAGTAAGAAAACAGTTCTGTGAGGTCGGTTAGAAAAAGGGGCGCCGAAGATTTTAGATCTTCTTATAGCTGAAAATAGACACTAACACATGAGGTGGAAAACAATTTCTTCCTTATCTGTGGAGCCACAACTTCGACAAAAGTTATTATTAGGTACACCCAGTTTCATAGCATGTCTTCCTATTACGCAGTGAACCATCTGCAGCAATACGATAGTACTGAGCAAGTCACGTCTTATTTGAAACAGCTGACTGTTACATTTTTTGACTAGTTTAGAAAAGGTCAATGTGGAGATCTGATAAGAGGGTTTTGCTTGGCAAAGCGCAAATATTTTTGTTTGACTGTCAGCATAACTATTGCTAGTGGGACACCAATATCTGAGAAGCGAATATCAGGAAACAGAGTGGCTGCCTTCTCAAGCTCGTCTGCCTTACAGTTGTCCGAGATATTCCTGTGTTACGGAACCCTGTTAGGGGTTCTGTTAGGGCTGTAATGATGATATTGTTAATCTGTAATTATTGAAAATTACAATTGAATGTGTTTTTGTTGCATTGTTTGTCAGTGCGATACTCATTGTGCCCACATCACTTTAAAATTCGAAATTAGACTGGAGTTCGACTAATGATTAGATAAGATTTTTACTTAATTCTTCTTGGTTATTTTGGAGCTTCCTAAAAAATAGTTTGTATATTTGCGAAGATCTAAGAGATTAAGAGATTCGAATAACGGCGTCGGAATTTTACTGCTGTCTACTGCTGATGATTGGATGGTATTCCATAAATTTATTAGAACAATCTATTTGTACTTGAATTAAAATCTTGTATTTTAATTATTTGTTAAAGATTTTCAAAATTGCTCTTCACTCATTCTTAACTATTTGTAGACTTTTCCTTATTCAGTTTTAAATGAAGTAGCATTGTTTTAATTTTATTTTTAAATGAAATATCATTGTTTAAATTTCATTTCGATATTTCTTCAAATATTTGCTTTAATTGTAGTGACAAAATCAAAATCTTTTTGTAAACCTTAAACATTTCGACGTAATATAAAGTAACTTCTTGACAGTGTTGACTGCAATTTCTCATTTTGTTTACAAACTCTTTGACATCAAATTTCTAAACAATAAAGGTTCATAAAATTCAATTTGTTTGCTTTTCATTTCGAATACCTAAAATACTCTTAATGTCTATGCAGTTGAAAAACATAATGCTTTGAAATGTACTTTTTTATATAAATGAATTCAATTGAATCCTTTAATATCCTTTGAAGAAGTTTAGTATCTTTGTAGTTTGCTAAATAAAAGTTCAGAGTAATAACTACGATTACTGAAAATCACTGATGAAAATATTTAAATCCCTACAAAGTAACATATTTTTGTACTGTTAAAGAGTCAACATTATCATTGATTGTCAGAGATGTCTTTCATTTGTTTATTGACAGCAAATTAAACGAAAGTTCCTATATGGATTGAAATTTAAACTTTTAACATTTAAATTTTCTGAACTCCATTGCCCTTCAAAACACCTCTACAAGCTCAACCCAAATCCAATCAAATACTACAAACTAAATTCAGATACTTATGTATGTATTCATCCACTTTTGAATTGGATAATGAGATTGCATCGTAAAAAAGTCATCAACAAAGTTTTCCTGTTTATGTAGTTTTTGTTTTCGGAATTTATTTACACAGACTGAACATTTAGAAAATATTTTCTATAAAAAATGGACACTTTCACGTTAAATCAATTTTCTTTAATTTCTGTTCATGTTTCTCCAATCTGAACTTTAACATTGCAACTAAAATGTAACTTAATCAATAGAACGAAATCAATTGAAATTATCTTCGTAATTTTTCACTTGATTTGAACTATTTTATTTATAAAATTAGTTATAAAAATGTGGCATCATGTTTACTAAAGAAAATTATTATATACTCTATTTAAAGAGTAATAATAGGATTTCAATGAAAAAATAGTGAAATGAGAAATGAATCTATAAACATTTGTATAAATATACCATATAATGTATATATATATAATATAATACAATATAATATATATATACATTATAATATATATATAATATAATATATATATAAAGGCAAATAAAGTTTTACTGTTACTTTTCTTGATTATCGTAAAAGTATACCTTATTCTGCTTTACAATATTGTTCACAAATTCGTATTTTTCGCTTTCCATTATAGGTTTTAATGATCGCAATAGCTTGAGTTTTATTTTATTATTTTCTGAATAATTTTCTTGGATCTCTACTGCTACATTGCTTTCCATATTTCCCTCAAGAAATCCATGTCGATATGATTGATTCTTTATTTTTAGATGCTATATCTCTTTTCATACCCTAATATCAGTGGTTCCTAACCTTTTTTGAACCACTTCTGTTGAATTTGGTTCATCTTGAAATAGCCATACAATCATACAGTCGACTGCTGTTTACTTTCCGCTTTATACGCGTATATTCATGATTCGTCACCTGTGTTACAATCTTATGTCTTTTGTATGTCTTTTGAAGTAGCGCCATTGTACTTCTTGAGCATTTGTGAGCACCAAACGACACGTGCATCTTATTAAGATTTTGTCAAATGATGGGGGAACCAATGAGAACAAACCTTTTTCACGTCTAAATGATCGTGCAATATTTTATATACTCGTATGCTGGTAGAACTTATGCCTAGGGTTCCTTCAGCATCAATGTTTTCTGGGACAATAACTGAACAACTCATTTTGGTCGACCTTCACTAATTTCATTAAGGTCAGTGAGTGAACTGCGGTTACGATTAAAATCACTGTACCAGCGTTTCACTGTACCAATGTGGAAGTAAGTTGATCAATGCACTCTTGCCTTGATAGTCCACGTCAAAACTCGAGTTAATTCCATTTTTTCGCGTCTCAAAAGATTTAGACCGGTCGACCTAATCCAATAACAACAATACTGCGCAGTACAGAAAACGGAAATAATAAGGTGTTGATCCTAATTATTCTACACATCCCAACAATCAAATGTAAAAAAGTACTAAATGTCTAATCGGAGACGAATGTATATAATTTTGGGAGAGAAAAGAAAAAAAAATGTGTTGAAAAGTTCAATCGAATTTGCAGACGTAGTTTAATATCAAGCTTACAAAAAAGACACAAATTAATTTTTAGAGGAAGGTTGTAGATGAAAAATTGAAGCCGTAAGGTTAAACCAAATCATCGGCTGCTCCACACAAAGACAGGAAACGGGTCACTATTGTCTTCGGCCTCACTAGTATTAAAGAACCTGACAAAGCATATATTTCAAAAGTAATGTTGCCTAAGACAGTATGAAAACAACAAATACTTATGAAACAGCAACACTTAAGACAATTGAGTATTCAATCTTGATTAACTTGAACCGTGTGAAAAGCATATAACATTGTTATTAATAAAATATTATCATGAATTTGATCAAGATTGGAAATGATGTCATGAAACATGAAATGCATTGGACACTAAAATGCAGTATATTTAAATGGTAAGATATTAAAATATTAATTTAATTAATACATTTTTTGAATCCATCTAAAAAAATGA